GAACGAGGCTCTGGTTTGAAAGGAGAACTATCAGAACTTGTAGAAAAGTGAAGTCATCCCATGAATGGCACAACAGTGAGCAGGTACACGGGGTCTGTGGCTCCCAGTTCCCTGTCCCCGCCCCTGCCGGGGTGGGGGGTGTACGCATGCACGTGCAAATTTGTGAAAGCGGCTGTTGTGTTGGTCTGCCATCAGGAGACCCCACGGACCGGGCAGCTCACACAGCAGGACTGGATCTTCTCCGTTGTGCTGGCTGGGAGTGGGGATCAGGGTTCTCACGGGGTTTGCTTCTGGTGAGTTCCCACATCCTGCCTTCTGGCTGCGTCTTCACCTGGCTCCCCCCCAGCACACGGCACAGGGAGGAGGTGGCAGTGTGCGCTCCGTGTCCCTGGACTCTGATCCTATGGGGACAGGGCCTCCCCTCCCATGCTTCGGTCCTGAGGCCCGGGCTCCTGCAGCCACGCTAGGGATTAGGGCATCAGCACAGAACTGAGGCACAGGCGGGGGAAGACACGCAGGGAACAGTCTCTGTCTTTAACACCAGCGGTGGCTTTTGTGACTCCCCTTCCTGCGCGTCATTCTCTTACCGAAGGCATCTTTCCTGGGGGCCACACCACCCGGGAAGGGTCCTCCGCTTTGACATGGCATAACAATTCCCATCCCGGTGCAGGGCTGGGCAGCCCCGCAGCCCCACAGCCCCTGGGGCCATGTGGGGCCATGTGGGGCCATGTGGCCCTCTTCCCACAGTTTTATGTGATTTTATAATGTTTAACAGTTTCAGTGAAAATACAACTGAGCCTGCATCCATAAAAGTTAGAAAAGTAAAATTCCAAGTCAGATGCTGTTATAAATACAATATTGAGGCTTAAACTATTGTGAGTTTTAATACAACTTTTCAGTATTTTAGTACTTTTCCAACCACTTTAAGTTCTGGCGGTGGGGAGGAGTTAACCATTAAAAACCACATAAAAACACGTAAAAGAATCATGTCTCTTTTTGTCTTGGGGTTCCAAATGGCTCGGCACAACACCAAGAAACCCTTTGTTTCAAAACTTGATACTTTGGAGGCACCTGGCTGACTCCACCAGGAGAGCGTGAGACTGTAGACCTCAGGGTTATGAGTTCAAGCCCCACGTGGGGTGTAGCAAGATTACAGAAAAAGTAAACTTTAAAGTAAATAAGGGACACCTGGGCGACTCAGTCTTCCTGGGTCGTGATCTTGGGGTTTTGGAATAGAGCCCCACATCAGACTCCCTGCTCAGTACGGAGCCTGTTTCTCCCTTTCCCTGCCACTCACCCTGCTCGTGCTCTCTCTGTCAATAAATAGAATCTTAAAAAAATACAAGCTTGGGAGCACCTGGATAGCTTAATCGTTTAAGCATTTGACTTTTTTAAAGGATTTTATTTATTTATTTGACAGAGAGTGACACAGCGAGAGGGAGGGAGCACAGCAGAGGAGTGGGAGAGGGAGAAGCAGGCTTCTCGCCAGGCAGGGAGCCCAATATGGAGCTTGATCCCAGGACCCTGGGATCATGACCTGAGCCGAAGGCAGATGCTTAACGACTGAGCCACCCAGGTGCCCTGCATTAGACTCCCGATTTCAGCTGAGGTCATGGTCTCAGGGTTGTGGAATCAAGCCCCACGTTGGCATGGAGTCTGCTTAAGATTCTCTCTCCGGGGCACCGGGGTGGCTCAGTTGGTTACGTGCCTGCCTTCAGCTTGGGTGGTAGTCTTGGGGTGCTGCGATGAAGCCCCGTATTGGGCTCTGCTCAGCATGGAGCCTGCTTCTCCCTCTGCCCGTCCCCACTGCTCGTGTTCTCTCTCTCTCTCACACACACACACACACACAAATTTTTAAAAATCTAAAAGATTCTCTCTCTCCCTCTGCACACCCCCCACCAGCTCACCCTGCCTCTAAATAAAATCTTTTTTTTATTACAAATCTAAAACATTTTGGGAGCACCTGGGTGGCTCAGTGGGTTAAAGCCTCTGCCTTCGGCTCAGGTCATGATCCCAGGGTCCTGGGATCGAGCCCCGCATCGGGCTCTCTGCTCGGCGGGGAATCTGCTTCCTCCTCTCTCTCTCTGCCTGCCTCTCTGCCTACTTGTGATCTCTGTCAAATAAATAAAATCTTTAAAAAAAAAAACCAATAACAAAACAAATCTAAAACATTTTTTACTTATTTATTTATTTTAAAAGATTTTATTTATTTGATAGAGAACAAGCAGACGGAGAAGCAGACTCCTGCTGAGCAGTGAGCCCGATGCAGGACTTGAACCCAGGACCCTGGTATCACAACCTGAGCCACCCAGGTGCCACCAAAAACACAAATTTGACTATCATGGATCTTTTACATTCATTTTAAATTGTTACAGCATTGTATTAAATGCCATTCACTTTAATGACTGAGGTCTTCGGTGCCCCATATATTTGTGCCCCAGTGGAGTGCCGTGCTTGCCTCGTATTAACTCAGGGACCATTGTCTGGGGACATCTGTGATCAAGACTGGGGGAGTCCTGGGATGGAGTGAGCAGGGTCAGAGTTGATCCTCAGTCCCCCGCAGTGCCCAGGATGCCCTCAGACAGTCACTCAGCCACTCACAGTGACTCCTCTCATCACCTGATTTCGTTTCTATTTCTTAACCTTGTGCAGACAGCAGGAGAGGGTGTCTTCTCGGCCCCAAGACAGCCAGTCCAGGAAAGGGAGCTTCTAAGTGTCAGCAAACCAGCGGGGGTGGGGTGGGGTGGGGGGTGGCAACGACTGCCCCACCTGCTCCCAGGGCTCCCAGCCTCTCATCTCTGCTGGCAAAACCCCATCATGTCCACCTGGGCCAGCCCCCAGGAGACCATCCCCCGGGGTTACCCCAGGTTGTGCTCAAAGGCTGGCTGTCTGCACTGGAGACAGCTGGGGCCCAAGAGGGTCAAACGCCCCCAGGAGCAAGTGAGGGCCCGCAGGGTGGATGCCTGAGAATGGATAGGGGCCCCTAGGATGCGTTTTGGATGGCGGTTCTTAAGGTCAGCTCTTGGGGTCCAGCACCACGCACCCACCGGTGTGCAGCTAGCGGGGACCGGGAGACAACAAACGTTGACCAAGAAGTGGCAAAACGGGAGCCTTCCCCCAGCCCCGTCCTCTCCCCACCAGAGACCAGCTGGCTTCCCTTGTCCCTCCCCTCGATGGAGCTGGGGCTGGTGCCAGGAGGCCGGACCTCCTCACCACTGGCAGGAATGTGAACTGGGGCAGGCGTCACGCAGGAAAACCGTTTGGCAGTTCTAAGAACTGAACAGAGAGAGCAGAGCGCCTGGATGGCTCAGTCAGTGAAGCGCCTGCCTTTGGCTAAGGTCACCATCCTGCCATCCTAGGATCAGGTCCCGAGTCAGACTCCCTGCTCAGCAGGAGGTGTGTTTCTCCCTCTGCCCCTCCCCCTGCTCGTGCTCGCACTCGAATAAATAAATAAAATCTTTTAAAAATTTGAACATAGAATTACCACGTGACCCAGCAATTCCACTTTGGGGTATACCCAGACTTGAGAGCAGGAGCAGAGAGTGGTCCTTGGGGATCCGACCTGAGAAGGTTAACACTTTTTCCTTTAGGTCTTCGTGTGGTTTCACTGACTGCAATAAACCTATCTTTGTAACTATCGTTTTTTAATTTTCAATTTTTAATTAACATATAATGTATTATTAGCCCCAGGGATACAGGTCTGTGAATCGACAGGTTTACACACTTCATGGCACATACCTTTCCCAATGTCCATATGTAACTATAGTTTTTCAATTAAATAAAATCATACAAGCTGGTAAAAGACAAGCGCAGTAGTGACCAGGATTGCCTTGCATAAAGGTCAGGGTCCTGAAGTCCTGGGCATTGGCCTGAACCGTCCAGAGAGGAATCTAGTGCCCCAGCCCAGCTTTGTATGGTTCGGGTCAGGGGGCCCGTCTGCCCACTGTTCCCTTTATCTGTGATTCTGCGGGAGCGACACTCTGGGCCTGAAGCCATTAAAACAAAAAGTTACACCTGCGCTCCCGGCGGCGGTTTTAGGTTCCCCGGCTAGGACCGGCCTCCGACCGCAGCTGGGAAGACCCCTGCAGGGGAGGCCAACTTCTGCTTCCCCGCGGAGCCCAACCCCGCCATCGCCATCTCCGTGCTCCTCGGCCGCCCGGGACCGGACGCCAGGACAGGCCGCTCAGGGGGTCCGGCCGCCCCTCCGGCACCGGCCGCAGCTCCCTCCGCTCGCCCCATCGTCGTCTCCCGAGCAACCGGCCTGCGCCGGGGAGGGCAGGGGCCGACGGGGCGGGTAGCTGGTCTGTCCGGCTGAGGAGCGGCGTCTCTTAGGAAGGTCCGGGAGCCCAGGACCGGAAGGCGGCCGGACTGCGGCGGCGCGGGGGGGTGGGGGTCATCCCTCATTCCCAGGCTTCGGGAGGGATCGGGGCGCGCAGGGCGGCGGGTAACCACGCCTGAAGGCTGGGAGACGGGGGGCCGGAGCTGGCCGGGTGGGTGAAGGCCCGGTACTGGGCGGGCAACCCGAGATTGAACGGGGACCCGGGGGCAACGGGACAAGAGGCAGGACCCCGACATCACAGCGCGGCAACTAACCACGCTGCAGATCAGCCCCTCGCGGCCCGCCGGCCCCAGAGCGCAGGCGCGGGGCGGGTCGGCAGGCGGGCCGCTCGCCGCTATCAGCCCCGCCCCCTAGCTGCACGCCGATTGGGGCGGCCGCCGCGGGGCGGGGCCGCCGCCCACGGGGAGGGGACCGCGCGGCGCCTGCGCAGCACGGGGCCCCGCGCGCGGGCGGGTGGGCGGAGCGGGCCCCCCGAGCGGGGGCTGGCGAGCGCGGGGAGGGGGCCGAAAGGGCGGCAAAGCCGGCGCGTGCCCGGCTGGGGGCGGAGGGCGGGGGCCCGCGGGCCGGAACAGCCGCGGCAAGTGGCGGCGGCGACGGAGGTAGCTGAGGCGGCGGCGGCGAGCGGGGGTCCGGGCGGCGGCGGCGGCGGCGGCGGCGGGCCGAGGAGCCGGGCGCGATGGAGCGGAAGAGGTGGGAGTGCCCGGCGCTCCCGCAGGGCTGGGAGAGGGAAGAAGTGCCCAGAAGGTCGGGGCTGTCGGCCGGCCACAGGGATGTCTTTTACTATAGGTGAATGAACGTGCCGGCCGGGCAGGGCCCCAACGGGCGCCTCCCAGCGGCCTCTGCGGCGGCCCGGGCGCCTCGACCCGGGCTGCGGCCTGGGCCCCGCGCGTGCGTCGTGCGTGCGTGCGTGCGTGCCGGCGCGCGGCGGTCCCGGGCCAGTGCGCGTGCGTGCCCTCCCCCTTCCTCGCGGCCGCGTGGAGTGCGGGGCGGCGCGAGCCGGGCGGCGGCCTTTGTTCGGCGGCCGCGGAACACCGGCTGGCGGGGCGAGGGGCGCCCGGCGCGGGCCAGATGCCGCTGGGAGGCGGGGGTGGGAGCTGGGCTGTCCCTTGGATCACGCGGGGCGCTCGCGCAGCCCGCTGCGGGGGCGCCGGGAGCGGGGGCGGGGGGACCGCGGGGCCGTGAGCGCCCCTCCCGCGGGCTCGTCGGTGGGACGAAGAACTGGTGGGGGGCGGCGGGCCGGACCCGGACAGTCGGCCACCTGCCGTCTGCCCTCCCCCTCCTCTTCCCTTCTGAGCGCGGCCGGACGCTTTGTGTCTGAGCCCCTGCTGCAGCGGCCTGGGGCGCGCTCAGGTCGCGGACACCCGCCACGTGTTGAAGCACCCAGAAACCGCCCGGGCCAGGCCGAGGCGGGGCGGGACTGCTGTCCCGCCCACCCCACGCTCGGGTCCCTCCGGGGCCTTTGCTGGCCGCCTGGGGGAAGGAACGAAGCCGGCGGGAAAGAAAGGGCCGGCGCCTCGGCCACGACCCCGGTGCGGGTTCTGGTCCCTGGAAGATCGGGGACCCTGTCATGTCAGGCACTGAAGCAGTGTGACCGCCACAGCGGCTCTCGGGGTCCCCGTCCTTCGCTGCTGGCCGTCGTGTCCCTGCCGTGCTGGCTGCGGTGGTTCTGTGCTGCTGGGGCCGTGAGGAGACCCCCTGATCCCGCGCGTGCCCGCGCGTCTGTGTTCCTGTCAGAGCGCAAGGCTGAGGCAGGTCTCCCCGGCTCCAGCCTTCAGCTGCGCCCGCTGGGGGTCTGGCCCAGGTCCTGGCTGTGCCGCTTGGAGTCAGACCCGCGCCTTCCTCTCCTGGGCGGCTGCGGCTGCGGCAGGCGGCTGCCCGTTGCTCCCATGGTTGCAGGTGATGACATCCGCTGAGAAGTGCAGGGCTCTGTGCGGGCCAGCCATGGGGTGCTGGGTGAGGCTGGGGCCGGTCCGGGAGGGCCGTGGAGCTGGGAGGGGCTGTCCTGGCGCAGGCGTCCTGTGCAGAGGCCCCCCGAGGCTGAGCCAAGGGCAGCGGGGTGGAAGCACCTTGAGAACGTTGCTCTGCCTCCGTCCCCACCTGTGTGTGCGTCTCTCCGGGCCTCAGCCCAGTGGGGTCTTCCTCTGAGGCCCTGGACCTGAGCATGGGGGTCTGTCAAGGGAAAGCCCCAGACAGGGGTACAGATACACTGCCAGCTTTCCCATGACCACTGAGTGGGAGGAAGTGTCGGGAGGGTCTCCTCCCATTCCCAAGTCTTTGAGCTGGGTGACCCACCAGGCAGGGGGTGTCACCTTCACTCCTGCTGGGTGGGAGGTTTCGGGGTGTGACCTGGAACCGTGGTGTTTTCTGGAACGTGGGTCTCTGGCCTCTCCACCTACTGGAGCTCCGGCTGAGCGAGGCGGCTGGGGAGGAGCGTGGATGGTTTCTCCTCGTTCTCAGTGCAGAGGGGAGGGAGGGCACGAGGGCCTTGAGTACAGCAGACCTGGCATGGGGTCCAAGCCTTGTCCCTAGGAGCACGTGGGCCTCAATTGGGTCCATAGAGCGAGTGGGGGAAGGGAGTGTGTTCTTGGCAAGACTGTCATGCAGGAGAGGCGGAGCGACCCCACAGATTGTTTCGGGGGGGCTGGAACATTGGTCTGCAACTGTGCATTTTTTTGGTGAAAGTCGTGTCTGACGTCTTCTGTCCAGCAGGAGTTTGAGGGGCTGTGGCAGGTCAGTACCCTGACCTCGGGGATAGGTCTTTGGAGGGGTACGGAGTAGGGAGGCCTTCTCCAGGGAACCTCATGTTAGAAGTAGAACCATACTCAGGAAGAGCAGGAGGGACTTAGCACAGTGGCCCCCTTCCTTGGGGCAGCAGGCTGAGGTTGTACCTTGCTGCTGGGGTGTCGTGGGTGCCCGTGCACTGCTCCTGGCGACCCCCGCAGCAGCCCTTCCTGTGATGGGAGGCCAGGCTGCGCGTCCGCCCTGCAGCCATCTCCAGGGCTGGGGCTCAAGGCTGGGGCGCAGCTCCTCGCGCCTCAACCGGCCACCTGACGGGCCAGCCGCAGCCCTGCGTCCCCCCACCTCTGGCTGCTGGTGTGTGCCCTCCAGCCTCGGCCCCGCTCCCAGAGAGGCCACAGTGCTCTTACTTCCACACGTGCGCTTTCAGAGCCATGCGGGGTGGTGGTTCTCGGTGGGCCAGCAGCGACGTCTTCCGGCGTCAGAGCGGGGCCGCGAACCGCTTTCGCAAGTTGAGATACGTCCGCGCTCTGTCAGCAGCGCGCACCATGGAGTGCTGTTTTTAGTGCACCCACAGAGTTGTGCAACCATGACCTCTGTCTAGCTCCAGAACATTCCATCACCCCAAAATGAGCCCTATGTCCATTAGCATCACTGCCCCAGCCCCCGGGAGCTAGTCTCTCTCTCTTGAACAGCTTCATTGAGAGAACGATTCACGTGCGGACAGTTCTCCCGTTTGAAGTGCACAACTGACCGGTTTCTAGCACTTTCACAGACAGGTGTGGCCACCTCCACATTTACCTCATCCCGAAAGCCCCAGACCCTTCACCGCCAGTGCCCTGTATCCACGGTCTCTTACCTGTGCTCCTTGTCCATTTGCTGTTCTCATGTAGCGGGGGGCGGGGGTGACTGGAGGCAGAGAAAGGCTGGCGCGTTCCGGGGGGTCCTCTCCTTCCTCTGTGGCCGTATCTGACCCTGGTGCCTTCCTGCTGTCCTGGGCACGTAGGCTCAGTGTGCCCGCGAGCCGGCCCGGTGTGGTGGAGCAGCCAGTCGTCCCGAAGCCAGGAGTCCGAGGCCCTGTGTGCTGGGCTCCTGGTCCTCGCAAAGGCGCCCGGGCCCCAGGGTATCGCCCGGCCTGCAGCCACAGCCCTGCTTGTCCAGAGGCCCTGGTGGGGGTGCCAGAGCCGAGTGCAGCCGGCCGCTGCGTGGGTCCTGGTGCTGGAGAGGAGGGGTTTCCTTCTGCTGCGCTTCCACGCTGCCATCCATGGTCCCTGGGAGGCTGGGGGGGCAGACGTGCTGTTGCCCGGGTTAGAGGCACTGGGCCTGCTGGGCCCCACACGAGTGCTCTCTCTGGCAGCTCGGTGGTTTACCCGCTGGAAGCGTGCAGGTCGGCTGAGCCCTATGTCACAGTCGTGCAGTCCTCACCAGGGCTAACCTTAAGACATTCCCCCTCCCCAGGTGGGCCCCGTCCCCATTAGCGGTGACCACCCCCTTCCCCAGCCCTTGGCCCCCACGAGCCCCCTTCCCGTCCGTGGACATGTCACACACGTGGACTCACACCCTGCATGGCCTGTGTCCGCTTCCCTCCCTGTGCATTGTGGGCCCATGGTCCGTCCTCCCTCCCGCTCGCGGCCAGGGACGCTCCTGTGCATGGGGGACCGTGTGTGTACCCGTTTCCCCATCCCAGTGCACATTTCGGCCGCTTTCACCTCACGCCCTCCCTGAGTCCGCCGCTCTGAACACCGGGTGTCTCCCGTCAGGTCGCTGGGTGCGCGGGGCTGCCGTGCCGTCCGTGTCCCAAGCGGCAGGCGGCACGCCCAGCGGTTACTGACGCCCGCCGGTGCTGTTGGTGCGTTGGGCAGGGCCCCCAAGGGTCGGCGCTCATCCCCGAGAGACAGGCCCACACCGTCCTCAAGCTGAGCGGGATCACGAGCGTCCCCACTTAAGAATACCTGGCCTTGGACTTCCCAGCAGGTCCTGCCGAGCAGCTCTTGGGGTCCTGGCCCAGAAGCCTAACCTGAGATTTGACCGCACCCCCAGGATGCCCTAGTCCATCCATGGTACCCCCAGGGAGGAGACTGGTTAGGGGTTGTCCCTCAGCCACCTGCGATCCTGGGGTCTTTCACAAGAACGTGGCCTAGTTGTGTTTCTGGAATGTTCTGAAACGCGAGCCAGGCTCCTGGGACTGGGCCCCACCCTTCTGCATCAGGGTGTTGAGCCCCGCTCTCAGCGTTAAGGTCTGCTGGGGGCTCTGGCCGGGAGGCAGCCCTGGGGACAGGGAAGGGGCCGGCCCAGCGCGCCCTGCCCGCCACTGACCGCCCGTCCGTCCGCAGCCCCAGTGGGAAGAAGTTCCGCAGCAAACCCCAGCTGGCGCGGTACCTGGGGGGCTCCATGGACCTGAGCACCTTCGACTTCCGGACGGGCAAGATGCTTGTGAGCAAGATGAACCGGAGCCGCCAGAGGGTCCGCTACGACTCTGCCAGCCAGGCCAAGGTGAGCCGCGGGGTGGGGCAGGGCGGCCGGTGTGCGGCCCTCCTCGCGGGCTGGCGGGCGCAGGGATCGCTTTAACACATGATCCACAAATGAAGGCGCCTGGGGGGCCCTGTCAGTGGAGGGTCCGACCATTGGTTTCGGCTCAGGTCGTGATCCCAGGGTTCTGGCTCTGTGCTCAGCACGGGAGTCGGCTTCTCCCTCTCCCCCTGCCCAGGCTCTCCCTCGTGGATCAGTAAATGTTTGGGGCACCTCGTGGCTTAGTGGTTGGTTGTCTGCCTCCGGCTCAGGTCGTGACCCCAGTGTCCTGGGACGGAGCCCCGCGTCGGGCTCCCTGCGCGGTGGTGAGCCTGCTTCTCTCTCTCTCTCTGCCCCTCCCTCCTGCTTTCACTGCACAAGCTTTCAAATGAATAAATTTAAAATTAAAAAAAAAAAAAAAAATCTTTCAAAAAAAAAAGCAACTCTACTCTTGGGTGGAGAGAGAGGTTTCCACGATTCAGTTTGTCATGCTACTAAGGTCGTCTCTGTCTGCTGAGAGAAATTTGGAAGCTACAGAAAAGTAGAAGGAAGGAGAGCACCCACCTTCACTCCGTCCTTGGGAGAGGCCACAGGTCCGCGGCCCCTGGCCGTCCCCGGTGTGCCTGTCCCTCTGTCCCCCCAAACCTGGCCGTGCTGGCGTCCCTGCAAGGACTGGAGGGCAGCCCGTCTTCAGTGGCCGGTGGGCCACACGCAGGTGCCCAGGGACCCTGTGTCTCTGATGGGCGTGTGTGCTGCAGGACAGTCGTGGCAGGGCCCCCTCTGCACCGTGCTCTGGGGAGAGCGTGGTACAGGAGGCCGGGTGGGGTTCGCCCAGAGCCCCAGCACGCCCCCACTGTGGGCAGCGAGGAGACTGGGCTGCGCATGCTGTCACCCCTGGCTCTGGGGACGCTGCGGGGAACACTGGTGACTGAGGGGCACGGGGTCTGTTCACCAAAGCCCACAGGGAGGGGTCTTCCCACTGCCTGGGAGAGCCCACTGAGGCCCGGGGCCGCCGTGCCAGCTTCCATGTCTCCACAGGGCAAGCCGGACCTGAACACGGCCCTCCCCGTCAGACAGACGGCGTCTATCTTCAAGCAGCCGGTGACCAAGATCACCAACCACCCCAGCAACAAGGTGAAGAGTGACCCACAGAAGGCCGTGGAGCAGCCTCGGCAGGTGAGCCCCAGGCCCCGTGCACAGCCCCAGGCCGGGTCCTTGTGGGTGGTGGGGTCCCGTGTCATTCGTGTCCCCCCAGGGTCATCGGGGCATCACCACCTAAATGACTAGTCAGACCTGTGTGTCTGCTCCCACGCTTTGGACCGTGCCTCTCCGCACGCTGTCCCCAGAGTCCCGCGGTGCCGTCTGGGCGTGTGAGCTCCTCGCTCTGTGGGGCCGCGGCGTCCTCTGCCTCACACGTGCCGCCCGGCCGTGGTGTGGTCTCTGGGGGGCCTCGCAGCTCAGCCCTGGGTGGACGGTGGACTGAGAAGTGAAGTTTCAGCCTGAAGGGGGTTCTGTGTCCCTGGGGTTGCGCCGTGGTTTGGGAGCTGTCGATGGTCAGCATCGATGGCAGGGCTGACAGCCCGGGTCGCGGTTTCTGTGGCCTCGGAGGACGGGTCTGGCGGGAAATCCCACGGGTCCCGCCGCCCCCTCGCTCCTAGGCAGGTGGGTCTGGCATGGGGGGGTCAGAGGTCGCACTGAGACCCCTGCCCCACGTGTGGAGGGCTCCGCTCTCGTCGGGACTGGCCAGGGCGGCCGCTTGTGGGAACACGCCCGTCAGCTCTGTCTGTCTGTCTGTCTGGTGACAGCTTTTCTGGGAGAAGAAGCTGAGTGGTCTCAATGCCTTCGACATCGCCGAGGAGCTCGTCAAGACCATGGACCTCCCCAAGGGCCTGCAAGGTAACCGCAGGGGCGAGGGTGCCAGGCGCAAGTGCGCCTACAGGCAGACGGGTGGGGGGCCCAGTGTCTGGCCCCGCAGGGGTGAGGCTCCCCTCCGTCCAGGACGGGGCTGGTCCGGGCCCCGGGCCCCCGATCCTGGAGACCAGCCGGCGGGCCTGCCGCGGCACAGGTGGGAGGCGGCGCACGGGCTGCGGGGGGCGGCCGGCAAAGACGGGGCACATGTGGTTTTGCTTCCGCACCGTGGAAACACTGCCGCGCTGTCATGGGCGGGCTCTGCTTCCGTCGCGAGGGGGCCGAGCGTCCGTAAGAGCAGATCGGGGTCAGACCCGAGGCTCTGGGAGAGGGGCCTGAGGTGCCTGGTGGTGACCATCCCGCTGTGCCGGCAGGCGTGGGGCCAGGCTGCACGGACGAGACCCTGCTGTCGGCCATCGCCAGCGCCCTGCACACCAGCACCATGCCCATCACCGGGCAGCTCTCCGCCGCCGTGGAGAAGAACCCTGGGGTGTGGCTGAACACGGCCCAGCCCCTCTGCAAGGCCTTCATGGTGACCGACGAGGACATCAGGTACTGCCGTGCATGCGTCCCCCGCCCTGTGTGAGCGCCCCCGTCTCCCGCAGTCCCGCGTCTGTGCCGGCGCACTCCGGGTCTCGAGCGGACGTGGCCACAGCGAGGGTAGATTTGAAAAGCACCGGCAGGAGCTTTCCCGCGAGTCTTGAGTTCGGGGCAGGCCAGAGGCAAGGCGGCCTGCAGAGGGGAATGGGAAGCGTGCGTGTTCTCTCGGGACGTTCTTGGGACAAGAAAGTGGTTGTTGACCTGTGCGGACAGGCTCACAGCGTGGCCTGCCCGTCCTTGGGCTCATGAGGTCTTGCAGGTGCCTGCTGGGCGGGCTCTGGGGAGCAGTGGGGAGAGGGGTGCCACCAGACACGCTTCAGGCCCCGAATGCCAGCCCAGGTTTAGGCTGGACCCTGCGGCTGCTGGGCCTCAGAGGGGCTTCCCAGCCAAGCCTGGTGCAGGTGGGCTCTGGGCAGGAGGCCCCCACGTGCCAGAGCCATCTGGGAAGACGTCCTGGGGAGGAGATAGTGTGAGCTGGCAGCAGGGTCAGAAACCTCTAGAAGCTCCAGCCGAGAGGGACATGTGTTCTCACAGCTCAAGTGTCAACACACCGCTGAGTTCAGAACAAGTTCATGGCTTTCCGGAGCCCACGCACAGAAGGGCTGGGAGCGCCGGCGCCATGGCCGGGAGTGGCTCACAGCTGGGGTCATAGGTGAATGTGCCTCCCGTGTCCGTGTGGGGAAGACACAGAGTCACCCACCAGCCCGTAGAGGAGCTCGTGTCCAGGGAATGGAAAGTGTAGGAAAAGAACACAACTGTCTGCAAAGACGAGCGGGTTTTTAAAGCCGAGGAGAATGTCTAGAAATAGGAAAAGCCACAGAAAGGAGAACGTCACGTCATGGGTTAGGTAGTGGGTCTGGGCCCGTCTGGAGAGGAGATGGGGGGCTGCCGGAAGATGGAGCCGGCGCCGGCCCAGCCTGGCGCCAGACAGCGTGCCGGCTCCTATTCTGCTGAGGGTCTCGGCCACAGGGAGGGAACGCGGAGGGTCTCACGGCCTAGGCTGGTGGCCTTCTAGACAGCTGTAACAAGGCAAAAAACCCAAGAAAGTCGTTCCCCATCTAGAATTCTCCACCAAAATTCTGCCACTCACTGGATGAGTGGCCCTGGCTAGCTGTGGTGACCAAGCACCTTTGTCCCTTTTCTCTTTGCAAACCGCGCTCGAGCAACAGTGAGGGGTGTCACACATGCCCATGCACCGGGCCCCGGGTGGACGGCAGACAGGTGTGCTGGGCAGCCACGGGAGGCAGTCAGGTGGGGGGACCCCTGCCCCCAGTGTCCGCCTGCGGAGGCGGAGTGTAGGGCCCAGGAGCAGAGCCAGAGGGCCGCGGGCTGTGCGCAGGCCGTTGTGCAGCCGGGGTGAGGGAGTGAGGGCAGACGACGCTCCCGGGGTGGCGCGTGCCCTGGCCAGCGCAGCCCGTGTGTCCGCAGGAAGCAGGAGGAGCTGGTGCAGCAGGTGCGCAAGCGGCTCGAGGAGGCACTAATGGCCGACATGCTGGCGCACGTGGAGGAGCTGGCCCGGGACGGCGAGTCACCGCTGGACAAGGCTGGTGCCGACGACGACGACGACGACGACGATGACGACGACGACGACGAGCCCGACCAGGACCAGGAGATGGAGCACGTGTAAAGCAGGTGCTGGCGCTTGGACGGGGCCACGGGGAGGAAGGACGTGCCCCATGCGGGGGGGCGGCTCCCAGCCAGGGTGCTGACGGCGCCCTCTCCCCGTCTTTCCAGAGGCTCCGTGGAGGCCTGCATGCGGGGAGCCCCCTGCAGACTCCGCTGTCTCTACACTTGGACCAGGCTCTGGGGCCCGGCCCACCAGGCCGGGGATGATGGCAGCCCCTCCTAGGCCTTCCCAGGCGTATCCCCTCCCCCGGGTCCATGGGGGCACGGCTGGAGGACAGTTCCTGCCTGACGGGCCCCCCATGTTTGCTCTCCTCTGAAGGGTCTGGGTCCAGAAGCGCCCGTCGCCCTGGGCCTGGCTGCAGTGGGCCCTCCTTGGAGCCCTCCCCCCACCCTGGACTCGGGGCCGGCCTCGTCCCCACGGCCACATCACACAGGACAGCTGCCGCGGGGCGGCCTGTGAGGGTCCCCAAGGGGCTGGAGAAATGTTTTTTGGAACAGTCTTGCTCCTTGCTCCTAGCGTGTGAGGGACGCTGCTCCAGGGTCCGCACGTTAGCCCTCCAGGAAGGGGGTGCGGGAAGGCTGCCCTGCGCGCCCACTGGCAGGCGAGGCCATGACCGCTCCGAGCTCATCTGAAGGCAAACGCACAGCCCAGACGTTTTCCTTCGATAAACCCATGTACAAACGAGGCTGGACGTCCGCTCGACTGCTCAGCCCATGTGTCTGCTGCACGTGGAGGCGAACTTTGCCTTTGTGTCGGGGGAGCTCACCGTCGACAGCGCAGCCCACCCTGCCCGCGGTCAGCCGGCCACCGACACCAGCCAACTCCTGGCCAACGTCCCGGGCCGGGGCTCCGAGGCAGCTGTGCCACCGGCCAGGGCTCCTCATCCCCCTCCCCCGGTGGCGGGAACGGTGACACCCGGCGCTCAGGGCCAGAGCTGGTGCTGGGGCCACGGCCTCTCGGGCGTCCTGTCCTGGGTTGTGTTCTGTGGGCCCAGCGTTTCCAGCACCTGGTGCCCAGAGCAGCGGCCTCGGAGGAGCTCGGGGTGCGGAGGCTGTTGGAACCGTGTCACTCCGCCTGCCACCTCTTAGCCGGAGTGCCTTGGGTGAGGGGAGCCTTCCTGTCCCTGCTCAGCCCCGGCCCGCAGCCCGAGACTGTTGTGTGGGACCTGGGCTGTTGCGTGTGTGGCTGTCACCCTGGCTGATGCGGAGGGTCGGGGAGGTAGTGGGAGGCACCTGGCGGTCCAAGGACGCCGGCCCAGCTCGGTACACGGCAGCATGGTGCCCGGCCCATCAAAGCACAAATCCTCCGGGACCAGCGTGGGAGTGCGTGCAGGCCCGCAGGGGGGCGCGGGCCACCACCGGCCCCCAGGAGGGCCCCTCCCCTGCGGCCACATGGCCTCCTGCCCTTCAGAGGTCACAGCTGTTGAGGGAGCTCTGTCTGGGGCTGGCCCCTGCGTGGGCCTGAGGTCCAGGTGCGGGGGGCCCCTGCCCAGCGGGGGACTGTGGGGCCCGGGAGGCACCGTGTCCTGCGGGCGACTGTTGAATAAAGCCGTCTCCATGAGTGCGGTTTGGAGCTTTCACTGTGCAGACCGCAGCGCTGTGTCTGGGGGGATGGACCCCAGGCCAGCCTTCAGCACCCGGTTTCATGTCGGTCACCGTATCGTGAGCTGGACGACCAAAGGGGACCCGGGGGATCAATTGGCCTTTCCCAGGGAGGATGGGGTTCAGCTCCCAGCACCGGGCTCAGAGCCCCCAGGGCGCGCGTGCCATCCACCCCGAGTCTGCAGTGAGGGTCCCCCTGGGGCCGGCCCTGGCAGGATGACCGGGAAGGACGCCCGTAGGGAAGTGACCCTACTGGGCCCAGTGCCTGGCTGCCGCCTGCCCACGCACAGGCCGCAGAGGGTCTGCTGCCTGGACCCAGCAGGTCTTCTGTACCCGTCTCACAGCCGGTCAAAGCCTGGCCTGCAGCCCCAGCCTCCCCAAACTCCTCCCAGGCTTGGGCTCTACCCTGCAGTCAGCCCCACCCTCCTGGAGGGGCTCAGCTCCCGGAAGGGAGACAGGCTCAGGGTACCGGGCTTGCCCAGGGGCCCCAGCTGGAGGGACCATTCTGGCTGAGAACTTGGGTCTCCCTGAGTCCCCAAGTCCAGACCCAGAGAGGCCTTGAGGGGCCACGAATCCTGGGAACCTCAGAAACTAGGACGGGCCCAGGGTCCCAGCCCAAGGGTCCAGCCACACAGTGGACAGGACAGTGGTCTGGCGTCCCCACCCCCACAACAGGACCCTCGCCCCAGAGCCCATGCTGACCCCTGAGCTGGGGCCCCCACACAAACTCTCTTCCCAGAGAGACCCCGGCGGCAAGGGCCCAGGAGGGGACTCCCAGACAGCCCGGTCCCCTGCTGCATCCAGCTTCAGTGTCTGCCAGCGCCGCATGCTGGGGGCCGGGACCGCAGACCAGAACCACCCCCGGTCCCTGCCTGGTCTGCCCAGTCACCCCCACTCCCAGGGAAGGCACAGAGCTCTCCAGGCCATGTTTCCCCCCGCCCGACGCCGTCAAGGGTCCTGGGACACCTCACCTGTGCGAGCCTCCCGCGGCTGTGGCGACAAGCCTCCAGCGACTTGGCCACTTGAAACCACACGGATGGGTTCTCACAGTTCCGGGCTCGGAAGTCCTAGTGGCGCAGGTAGGGCTGGTTGCCCCCACCCAGGCCCCAGGGAGACCCGGGTCCTGCTCTTTCCTGGCCCGCGGCTCCCCTCCATCCTCCCCGCCAGCAGCATGGGGTCTGCCCATCTCTGGGACCCCCGCCCTCTGCCTCCCTCTGGTGAGGATGCTGGGCACCCCAGGAACCCAGGGTCACCCCCACCTCGGGGTGGTGACAAGGCCCCTCTGCCACAGGAGGGGACATGTCCTGGGTCCTCTGCCCGTGCTGGCCCCTCGAGGGTGTGAGCACTTGCTTCAGAAGCCCGGGAACCGGTCGGCTCAGGATCCACCGAATTGAGGAGGAAGGGACCCTAGGGGTGACAGGAGGCAGTGACATGAACAGAACAGGCTGGGAGTTTATTGGTCCAGACCTGGCCAGAAGGGCTGGAGCAGAGGGACCAGCTTGCTCCGATTTCTAGAATAGTCCAACAGGATGGCCACCAGCCGTAGAGGACTCCGTTTCGGTTAGTTAAAACCAAAATACCTGACACCCTCCCCCCCCACAGCACTGGCAGCTCCTAGACCAGACACAGCATCTGGAGAACATTCCATCACCTGGAAAGTTCTATTGCCCAGTACCGTTCTAAACCAGGGACTCTCAGCCTTGGCCAGAGCCGGGAGGTGGGGGGTGCCGCTCAGACGCTGCCTGGAAGATCCCGTAGGGCTTGGTCCAGATTCAGGCCTTCAGAACGCGGAAACCACCACAGGGTCTCAACAAACGGAAACTCGGCTGTGAGTGGGAGCGAGGCGCCCATCGCTGCCCCGGGGGTTGACCCCGAGCCCACGACGCCTGGGGAGAGACCCAGACACAGAAAGCCACTGTGATTTCTTTTTTCCAGTGTGGTGTTAATTTTATGTCACTTGCTGAGACTGAGGGACACGCAGACAGCTGGTGAACGTGAGTTCTGTGGGTGCCCGCGGCTGTTTCTGGAAAAAGATGAGCATTTCTTTTTTTTTTTTTCTTTTTTTTTTTTTTTAAGATTTTATTTATTTGACAGAGATCACAAGTAGGCAGAGAGGCAGGTGGAGGGGGGGAAGTAGGCTCCCCGCTGAACACGATGTGGGGCTCGATCCCCGGGCCCTGAGACCATGACCTGAGCCGAAGTCAGAGGCTTTAACCCACTGAGCCACCCAGCGCCCAGAAGATGGGCTTTTCTTCAGCAGACGGAGAGGAGACCTCTGCTGGTCCACGTGGGCACCCGTTCCAGCCACCGGGGGCCTGAATGCAACCCGAGGTGGAGGGAGGGCAGACCGCTTCCCCCTCCCCAAGCTGAGCCGAACGCCTGGTCCTGCCTCGGACGGCCCCAGCCACGGATGAGGACTGGTCACGCCTCAGACCCTCTCGGGTCTTCAGCGCGACCCATAACCGGGGAGCCAGTGTCCTTGTCCTGAGTCTACCGCTCTGTTTCCCCGGGGACGCCCCCGACCCTGTGCATGAGAGGTCAGGACAGGTCAATCCACCGAGCCAGAAAGCCAGTTCGCAGGCACCAGGGCTCAGGGGTTAGGAGCGGGGCGCTGCCGATGGGGACGTGGTTTCTTGTCTGCATAACGATAATGTTCTAAAGTCGACAGTCTGGTGATCACACAAGTTCTCGAATTTACTAAAAAGTAAATTCAACTAATTAAAAAGGCCAACCTGGGATGCACACGAATTACCTCTCGATTCCAACGACTGGAAGACGTCGGGGTCTCGGGAGCCTAAAGCGTGTGCAGAGACCCCAGCCGCTTAGGAAGGAGACGGAGGGTCCCCCGCCACGGCTACAGGGGGAGCTAGCGGCCTGCAGCGCCGACACACAGCTGCCCGGCCAGGGATCTTTAAAAAAAGACAAAAATTAACTTAGGCTGAGTTCAAGAAACGTGCCGACCGTGCGCCGGGAGACCCCGCAGAGCCAGCCCGTCGCCGTGAAGCCCCGGAAGGAGGCCAACCTGGTCCCAGGGGCTGGCGGCGCAGGGCGGCCCAACACGGGGGCCGACAGAACCGCCCAGGGTGTCGACCGGGGAGAGTGGAGCTGGTCACTCGGACAGTAAAAACAGGTGTGTTTTCTGGAACGAGTACAACACTGTCAGTGAAGGGGATTCAGACACACATTTGGAACGAGAAGAAGACAGAGGGGCTTCCTTGCCTGGGGACCGTCTCTGCAGTGCCTGGTGCACCAGGTGGAGCTCGCATCCGCCCCGGACGGCCCCCAGCACGCGCTCCGGTCAGCGGTGAGGCTGAAAATAGACACCGTCCAGGGAAGACAGTTCTGTGGTTTTATATTCTTCGGCGATTTTTTCTCCCCTTGACTGTTTCTTATTCTTTCGGAATGTGCCCACGGGGAGGAGGGTGCTGCTGACCCCCTGCCCCCCCAGCTCGGGCAGCATGGGCACAAGCCTGGGCTCCCCCGTGGGCGTCCTGGAGCTGGGGGCCCAAACGTGGCATTTCCCCAAGGTTTGAAGAACTGTTTAAAAAAAATTGGGGGCGCCTGGGTGGCTCAGTGGGTTAAGCCTCTGCCTTCGGCTCAGGTCATGATCCCAGGGTCCTGGGATCGAGCCCCGCATCGGGCTCTCTGCTCGGCGGGGAACCTGTTCCCCCCCCCCCCCCCCCCCCCCCCCCCCGAGCAGACCCCCTGCTGCTGTTTTGGTGGTTTCTTTGGCATTTTCCTTCATGCTGCTTTTTATCCTTGTCCCCCAGCCCCCGGCCCCCGCGAGCCCCTTCCCGTCCGTGGAGGGGCCTGGTCTGGGCGTGTCACACGTGTGGACTCACACCCCGTGTGGCCTCCTGCATCTGGTCCCCTCCCCGCACGCCGTGGGCTCAGGGTCCATCCCTGGGGCAGCGCGTGGGGGCCTCGCTCCTGCTGGTGGCCGGGGATGATCCCACGCGTGGGGACACGTGTCCGCGGACCCACGGACGGATGCCCGGGTCGTCTACACCTTCCGGCCGCGGTGAGCACAGGGCTGTGCCGGCTTCAGTCCGTTCTCCTGTGGGTTTGTGGCGGGCGGAGCGGCTCTGGCATCCTGCCCGGCCAAGGGTCTGTCGCAAGCCAGCCCGCGGGCAGCCCCAGCGGGGGTCCCGTCGCCCAGTTCCCACAGGTTCACCAGCGCCTCCCTCCTGCAGGACAAGGTAGAGAGGGCACCCACCCCACCTCGCGCGGCTTTCCCGCTGTTCTTGTTTACAGACACTTGCAAACACATCTCTCAAAGGACACTTTTTAGAACTTAAAAATACATTTTGTTTGTCTGTTTGTTTTGGTCATGGAAGGTTCTGAAATACGGCAAACAGACAGGTGCAGCCCAGGGGCGACACCCGGGCTGGTGGAGGCCGCCCAGGGCCCGCGCCACCTCCCAGCTCCACCCCTGCTCCCACATTGTCTCAGCCCTCTGCCAGAGGGGTCTGGGACGCAGAGGCGTTCGCAGGATCTGGCCGTGACCTTTGTCTGCACCACCTGCCCTGGCCACACACGGGCTGGCACGGAAGGGTAAGCGGTCCTCAGCCGCAGCGACTGTGCCCAGGGACTCTGTCCCAGGACGGTTTGGGTCGTCCTGCCCCGGGAGGTACTGTTGGCTGCACTGTCTCCCCCCAGAGAACACTGTTCCCGTCCCAACCCCTCAACCTGCGAATGGGAGCTTCCTTGGAAACAGGGCCTTGGCAGATGTCATTGGCGAAACTGAGGTCCCGCTGGGGCAGAGCGGTCCCGAATCCTCATGAGACAGAGACCGGGACGCAGACGCACGGGGAGAAGCCGCATGACCGCGGAGGCAAACCGGGGCGATGTGTCCACAGCCAGGGGACGCCAAGGACGGCCAGCCACACAGGAGCCAGGAGAGGCAGGAAGGACCCTCCTAGAGCCTTCAGACACTGGATGGTCCTGCCACACCTTGACCTGGGACTTCTCGGCCCAGGACTTGGAGAGAATACATGGGGGTTTAAAGCCACCCAGTTTGCGGTAATTTGCTAAGACCACAGTAAAGTCACATGCAGGGGTTGGTGCTGGTGGCTCCAGGAATCACGGAGGGGGTCCAGGGATACTGGTGGACACACACGGCGCCCAGAACAGCCCTCCACCTGAGAATGACCCGCGTGTCAGCAGTGCCAGGCAGAGCGCCTGTCCCCGCCCACCGTGCTGCGGCGTGGCCTTAGCCCATCCCCCACCCCACCGTTTCTGCTGTTTCAAACCATACCACGGACACCACCCTCTGCCTCCCAAGTACCTCAGCCTGCAAACTGCTCTCCGGTCAACAGTTTACAGATTTTTTTTTAATGACATTATTTATTTATTTGACAGAGAGAGCGAGCGAGCGCACACAAGGAGAAGCAGGCTCCTCACTGAGCAGGGAGCCCAACATGGGGCTCAATCCCAGGGCCCTGAGATCATGACCTGAGCCAAAGGCAGACGCTGAACCGACCGAGCCCCCCCCAGGCGCCCTAACATGTGCCACCACAGGGCCATTCCTGCCCAATCCCTACGGACGCCGAACCGGCCAGCACTCGCCCGTCCTGACCATGTGGAGCGCCGGTTCCCCTCTCCTCCTCTGACTCCTCATCTCCTTGTCCAACGGCCTCCTTTGGAATTGGCCATAATCTCTGCTCCTGATGGCTGGCGGTCCACAGCTGAGCACTCGACGGCGCCCCAACCCCACGTGCCAGTGCCCCTCTGCACAGCGCCGGGCACCGTTCCCTTCCACTCGCCTTCCCGAGGCACCATGCACTTCCTCCCTCGTTTTGCCGGAGTGCATCCTGTGGGATGCCGAGCGGATGGGTGAAGACCTCGCCGGCCCGAAGCAGCTTGCTCCAGCCGTCCCTCTCCCCTGGAACCCAGGCCTTCTTTTTCCTGATCGTTCGGAATATGGCCTGGAAGCGCCCAGGAGTCCCAATTCCGCTAACTCACCTTCCCAGGACAAGCAGCAGGGTCCTGGCTATCCCCTTCCATGATTTCCAACTTCCCTCCACTCCCCCTGCTCTCTCTGGGGTTCTTGGACTGTTCCTCTGTTTTCTCCCTCCTCTCCCAGTTCCCACGTGTCTTTTTTTTTTTTTCTTAAGATTTTATTTATTTATTTGACAGAGAGAGATCACAAGCAGGCGGAGAGGCAGGCAGAGAGAGAGGGGGAAGCAGGCTCCCCGCCGAGCAGAGAGCCCAACGCGGGGCTCGATCCCAGGACCCTGGGACCATGACCTGAGCCGAAAGCAGAGGCTCAACCCGCTGAGCCCCCCAGGCGCCCCTCCCACGTGTCTTTTGCCTGACTTTCTAGATCTCTCCAACTGAAATCTTCCAACTTCCAGTTGAATGACCTACTGTGCTAACTGCCAAGCTCTCTCGTTCTGTCCTCCTCTGTCACCTTCCCGTTGGCGGGATGCCCGCAGTGTGAGCTGAGCCCGCCCGCCTGCCCCCCAAGGACACTGGTGTCTCCAGGGAGGGGGGTCTGGGAGCTTGGGGCAGGGTCCCTTCAGCCACTGTTCTTGTTTCTCCCCCATCAGTAAATGCTGCCTCCCCTCCCAAGACCCCCAGAGGCAGGCACATGTGTATGGGGCTGGGGAGCAGAAACCGGAAAGCAGAAAGGCACCCAGCTCGTCTGAAGACCTCCCCATGGGGACTGCTGGGGTCAGGGGGTGCTCTAAGGAACATATATGTGGGTGCATGACCTCCAGAGTACATCCTGGAGCAGACTATGCTGTCACCACCCAATTCTCCCTTCACGTATGACTTCTCCCCACCCCACCCCCTGCTCCCTCCTGAGCCCCCCTTCTCAGCACTTACCCCCTTGCCTCCTTTTGTTTCTCCTTCTCCCTCCAGCTCACCAAAAGGGCAGCCCACCAGCTTCCACCCTGGCTGGGACCCCAGGAAGGGCCAAGGCCTGGCCCTGAGAAAAGGTACTGATGGTGAGTGCTGGGGGTAGCGGGGAAGAGGGACCTGAGGTTGGCCAGCTGGGCCTGACCCATCTGGGCCCTGTTTCTCAGGGACAGGGACAAGGTCTGTGGCTGGGAAACAAGGAGCAGGAGCCCAGGTGCCAACCGATCACAGGAGCAGGCAGATCTGCAGGTCCCTCCAGGTCCTCAGGGAACTTGGTCCCATGGGGAGGGGACGGGACATAAGTTATTATGAAGTAATTAAGATTCATGAGTGTTTAAGTGCCCAAAAGAGAAGCCTGGGACCCGAAGAAAGGAACTTGGGCTGGGTGTGACTTGGGGGTCCAGGATAGGGCGGGGAAGGGTTACAGCCACAGGCAAGGAGGCAGAAGGCGCGAGGGCCAGTCTGAGCGGGTGGGGAAAATGCGCGCCATGGCTCGGGCACTACTCGGGGCAGGGGACGGGGGACCCACGGTCAGGGGGAAAGCCGCCGGCAGGCAGAAGGGGCAGTCCGCTCCCGCTCCCACCTGGGGAGCTGGTGTCCTCCGCCCCGGGCTCCCCAGACAGGCCCGGGGTCCGCCGGGAGGCTGCGGGCAGACGCACCGGCGGCGGGCCAGTCTGCTTCCAGCCCGGCGACCGGGAGAGCACGCCCAGGGAGAAGCCGGGGCGCTCCTTCCCCCACCGCGGGCCGCTGGAGGGCGGGCCGCTGGGAGGCTGGCGCTGGCGCCGGGCACGCGGGGCAGGGGGTGCCCCGGGAGCAGCAGGGTCCTCCGGCCACCGGAAACCAGCCCCTGCCGGGGAGAACCGCCGCCCACGTGGCGGAGGCTCCAGCTCGGGCCACCTCCTCCCCCGGGCGCCCGCCGGGGGCCGGGCGCGCGCGCGCGCGGGCGGGGCAGGGGGGCGCTCGGGCCGCCCGAGGGGTCGCGCGCAGAGGTTGGGGCGGGGGACGCGCCGGGGGCCCCGCGGGTACCTACCTGCGGCCGCGCCCGCGCCCGCCACGTGACCACGCCCCGCCCCGCGCGCGCGTGCGCCCTGCCGGCGCCCCATTGTTGGCCGCGCGCGCGTCACGGGGCGGGGCGGGGCGGCCGGAGGAGGGCGGCGGGCGGGCGGGCGGGAGGGAAGCAGCGTCCGCGCCGCTGCCGCCGCCGCCGCCGCCGCCGCCGCCGAGCCCCCGCCGCCGAGGAGCAAGCAGAGTCGCGCCGCCGCCCCGCCGCCCGCGGCCCGAGCAG